GCCGAAAATCTTGACGACCAGAAACTCCGTGACGATTTTTTCCTCTACGCGGAGCGGCCGAGCGCTTGAGAGAGGCGATGAATGAATGAGTGACCGAATTAAAATGAACGGGCATGGCATACAAAATCAACAAATCCACCCTCGCACGCTGGTTAAGCAAGCGATGGCCTTACAATGGTTTCGCTGGCTCGGAGGATCCGTTAGATCTGAATGGCCGGCCGTGAACCGGAGTTGGTTACGCCAATGTCGCCGCTTGTGAAATTCAGTGCGACGCTACGACGTTCACCGATGTCGTCGACGTTGGCGCCGCCATGAGCACTGCCGATAGATGCCGAAGCGAATAGGTAGATGGACTCCATACATGCTTGGACGAGTGCGACTCATGTCGTCGAGCACCGACGAGTGAGCACCGCGTTCACCTAACGTGCCATCATGGTCATGGATTGTATTGCGACGTCACGTTCAGCTGCTGGTAATCATTGAATGTAATCAGCTGATGAACTGGCTGACTGACGGCTCATAATTGCGTCACCGCAGAAGATACTCGCCGTTGAAGTCTATATCAAGGTCTTCCGCGCTTTCCTTCTCGCGAGTGGGGACAGCTTTAGAGAATCAGAAAAATTTACCGACCCAGGTTACAAAATAATGTTCGCAGCTACGGTCCAACGATCTTCGGACTTCGGTTTCGGTGCGCTACCGGGTGGAAACCGGCAACTCCGCTCTGATAGCGACAGCCTCAGCTGATCCTGAGCCAGAGAAAACAAGCGAGAGATTTCTGTGAAAGGGACCTCTCTTGACCAGAGCATCGAGATCGACAGGGTCCTGGGAAGACTCTCCAGCTCCGGGTCCCGAGCTCCTCCGAGCCCCTCGGGGATTTCTGTTGTGGCAGAGCTCCGACTCGTCGGAAAATCTTCACGTCCAAGGATCTCGGTCTGAATCTCGACTCGCCCTCTCAGAGAAAGTGTCTAAATAGGCTGACTGAATCTTGTCCAAAAGGAAGAAATCTATTGTCGCTCCGCTCCTTCGATACAGAAGTAAGCAAATAGCCGCGAACACGACTTTCGGTTCTTCATCTGGTTTCGGGGTTGACTGCGAAAACGTCAAGGGCGGTCAAAACGCGAGTCAACCTCGCGGATTCGCCTAGCCCGCGAAAGCCTTCTACGCAAGACAACTCAGAAAGCAACGATGTTCGTGGTAGCGCTCTTCAGCCAGCAGATAAGTTCCGAAATGGTGATCGACGACAAAGTTTTCCTTGCAATTCTTCAACAGTTCGTTAGGGTATTCTTTGAAGTTTAGTCATAGAGGTCTTCGACCCTCGACAACTGAGCGAATCCAATCGATGAGATCGTAGCATTCACAGAAATAACTCCCGATAATCTCTGCGATTCTACAGCGGCTCGGAAGGAGGAAGTCGTAGAGGCAGCAGCAGCGGCGCCATTGACAGTGTAGGTTCGAAAGTACCGCGTGACATCACCGGGGCAATGACCTCTACCACGGCGGACTAGAGCGCGCCGCCCAAGCTGAAAACGAAAGTGAAAATAAAGCACTTACCATGATGCGATTTCTTGCGGTGAACAGCGGTGATAAATTATCAGATGACTTGAATAGGATTCCTTTTTTTCATCGGTGCTCGCACAAAAGCTCGATATCCAACGCGGTTCACTCCACAGTTTACTGAAGGAAGCGCAGTATTGCAGGAACGATCACTCTGACTCAACCTGGAAGGTCACTAAACGCCTACGGGAGATCTAATCCGAATCCTTCGGTGAGAGATTTTACTGCAAAAATAGGACGGTGATCTGGTGCAGCACTGCTTAATAAGCGGCGTTCCATCGCCAGACAAGCCAGGTCGACAAGATTAGGTTTAAAGAGGTCCGATTCGAGAAATTCGAGTGAAAATATTTCTGCTCGGGGAGACGTTTAGATCTCTTCCTCTCCGACATTTCCGGGAGTTTACCAACAGATCGGCGACTCGGGGTGGGAGGTGCAGTCGCGTGGGCGATTGGGACGGCGGTTAGTTCCGAGATGTACAATCAGAGGGAACGGAGGCTACAAGGAAAGACTGAGGGTGGTAGGTGGGCTTCAGCTGCGTCGGCGGTGGATCCCGGTTGAGGAAATTCGGCGAAACTATTCTCAGCTGGAGCTGCACTTACTCGTTTTCCCGTGAGAGTCGGGGAGAGTCTCACAACCACGTTCCAGAGAGCGCCCGAGCTCGGGATTCTCCTTCGAATAGCGAGTATGCGCGATGAACACGGATCGGTGGATGTTCGAATTGTTCGGGATATTGAATCGAGAACTAAACGAAGCGTTGGGTGAACTGAGCGGGAAGCCGAGGATTTCTTCTCCGATGAAATTAGGCGGTTTCAAAGCGACACTCGATCAGAGCTCCGTCCTCAAAGCCGACGCCAAGTGGAGAAAAGCGCTGGCTTTCCTCTGAGCAGACTTCCGAATGTTGGATCGGTCGTAGCTGTAGTTTCCACGGAGTGACTCAACGAACGCCAAACGAATGCGGATGGCGGTTGCAGAGTTCCAGAGTTGAATACTGGGGCTCCGGGTACTTCATCTGCGAGCTGATTTGGGTCGGATTCCAGCGAAATCACGCGGCGAGAAACTCGGCCTGGGAGTGAGCGATCGAAGCAAGCAGAAATTTTCCAATGAAAAACGGTCCTTTTCGAACGAAAGCAACCAACCGACGATACGGTACGAACACACCACCACTGACTGCTGCTACGGCGGGTCTGCTCTCGACTGGCTGCACGGGGTGAATGACCTGGCTGCCTGAGTGCCAGCCAGCCAGTCAGCCTGCTCGCACTTCCTCAACGGAGAGCGGTCGTTGAACTCGAGCAGCCAGCCAGCCAGTCAGCCGGTCGGTCGGTCCGCCGCGCAGAGGCTTTCCCAAACCTTCGCCGCCGCGGCTGCCGCTGTGGAAGCCTCCTCCTCGTTCTCCTTCTCGGTGTTCTCCTTTCAATCTCCACGTTCTCCACCCGCTGGCCGTGCGACGGCAGTCGGACCGAGTTTCGCGGCGTGCCACCGAGGGCGCCACGGAACCGGATTGCGTAGAATCGGAGTGATGACCGAATATACGTGATAGGAGATCGACGATCGGATTAGCTTTCGACTTCGTCTTGGTGAATGTCGTCAGACCGGAAACCATTGGAATGTATCCATATCACCTGACACAAGCTCATGAGCGTGGTCGAGCCCGCCGAAAGTCGGGGAATAGCTTCCACTGTTCACCGACCTTGGTCTGGCTTTCAAGCACGGCGGTTTTGAAAGTCTCGAGTTTCAGCGGCGGTCTCTTGAAAGTTCTTCCGAGAATAGATCCGTAAGAAGGAAACTGAGAATGACGCACGTGTGGTGGGATTCGTTCGGAGCAGTCAGTCATTCGAGAACCCGTTCCAACCGATCCAAAGCTGCGTATGGGATAGGAAGAGCGCGTCGTCCATTCCCATAGCCGGAATCGAAAAGGATCCGCGCAATCCCTAGAGGATCCTTTCATTTGGGCATTTGAACGATCGCTGAGATTCTTATCAGGAGCTTAGCGGAATTCATAAAAAACACACTCGCATGCTTCCTGACAATTCGCGAAACGGCTGGGGAGTGTCGGGAAGGGATCCTTGAGAAGTAAATTCCAGCGTTTTCTTCCCCCCCCTCCCCCGAGGGCAAGTTCCATGTCGATTATATCGACATGGAGTCGCAGTCGTCAAAAAGCGAGGTTTGACGACTTCAAATCGCGTCCCGTAGGTGTTCAACTATTTGCTCCTTTCCTCCTTTGATTAAGGACTCCGTGAGATGCATTCTGATTCGCTCTTCCTCGCGTGGGCTCTACTCTTGAGGCTGGTTATAGGGGCTGATCCGATGTACACCAAGACCGCATTGAGGACCATCATTCTTGTGCCTGGGAATATGGGCGAGGAGAATGAAAAGCTCCCTCGACGACCATGGTCATCAGAGACCGAACGGTCAGAGCGGAAAACCGAAAATGAAGTCCCTGAGAATCCGAAACAGTCAGGGGATCTAGTTGGCATGAGCTCATTCGGGCGTTTACTTGGCCTGTGGAGCCTTCAAGGAGCTCGCTGCTCCGGAACTCCTTTATAATCCTCATTGGCTCAAGCCTGCCGAATAGCCTAGGCGGACTAGAGATCGCGGTGTCGTCAAGACTCAAGACTCCGACCCGTGTTCGAAACGCGAGGGGGTGTCTGATCAGTGCGATGTAGATGAAGGAGGGTTCGCAGTCAGGGAACTCTCAAGAACAAACTCTTGAAAACCCAAGGGAATGAGCCTGCCGTAGGCGGGTGGGGAACTCTCCAACTATAATGTCGTTCGAGGCCGGATGTCGTTGGATTGGTGCTCGTCTGCCGAATACAGAAGTTCCGTACCCTCGGTCGACGGGAGAACGCAGACATAGAATAGGCAGCTCTTCCTGCGCATGCCGCCCCTGGAACATTCCGCGTTTCGATATTCGCAGCAAGCGGAATACGTCGCCGTTGGTGATCGTGCTGAAACCGCAGAAGATGTCCAATGTTTAACCGAAATCTATCGTTTCATAGGAGTACCAATCTATTTTCCATCAGACGGAAATGCGCAGCTCCGCCTTGGGCGGGCAAAGTGCCCAGGTTCTGGCTATTGCGTCTCTTCGAGTGTCCTCGCCCCTACCTAAGCCGGCGCGCTTCCCGACGCTTCGTGATCAATCAAGATACCACAACATCGTTGACGTTTCGCTCCTCGCTGGAACATTTCGCGTGGCGTTGGGCTGGCGCAGCCGGAGAAAGTCGTAGAAAGCTATGTATGTGATGTCCTCGGAGGACTTTCGCGATCCGATTCTCCGGCACGAGAATGCCTTCTCGGCCGAACACCAATCTCGGGCAAGAGCACGGACGGTACGCGCCGATGCCCGAAACTCCTATGCGGATTCGCCGCGCGGGAAATTCGAGATCTCCAGCCCATCCCACGATCGAGTAGGTCCTTCGGTAAAGCGAGACGAGCTGTGCGCGGGCGCCATGGGGGTACACGGTTCGGCTCGAGCGTTAGAGACAAACAATGATCCTCGAGTCATACCTCCGAAAAGTAAGATTATGCTAGCTCCGATCTGCGATAAGAGAGGAGGCTTCTCACAATTCTTTCGGATGGATCAAAGCGCTTTTGATATCGTAAAGCCCCTAAGCCTGAAAGAGCTTGGCCAGCACTACCCTGCAAGTGAAAAGCTCTCCGTCAACTCCGTGTGTCCGGAGCATTTCGGAGAGATGTTCCTTCGTTCGACTGTGCACTTGCTCTGTTTTGTGAGTTTCTCGCAGATAGACGCGGCGGACAACACTTGTGAATTCCAGCATGCAGGTAGAGCCATTGGGAACGTTCACTCGATCGAGACCATGATGCTCGAACATTCACTTCATATTTTGCTTCCTCCGCCGAGTCACAGGAGAAACAGTGTGTGAGGATCGGCACATCCCTCGACCTTTCAGTCAATCAAATATATTCCCGACGATCGAGACACCCTCGTAACAGTATCTATCCCTTGATACCTATCTCTTAATACCTATCTCTTTTTTCCTACATCCCGCTGAAATACTCCTCCCAGAGAGCTAGCGCATCTAATGCAGGTCCGGTCGGGAGCCCACGTACCGAGAGAATGATTTCGGCTTGAGTCCCCGTCACGCATTTCGTTCTTGTTCATCGGAAACCCAATTCATGAAATTTTTCAATGTCCTCCATCGTGGTTGAAGCTTCAGAATTCCGATCGTCTCAGTGAAACGCGAAATCTCTTTGCCAGGGCGTCGAAGTTCCTCAATCAGAGTCTTCGTCTTCCAGATCATGCAATTTGGAAGAATGTCGACACTCTCACAGCATCGGACGAAGACTCGGGGTGTCGCCCCGGGAAAGTCTCCGTCAGAATCCCGGTCGAGATCCAAGAGGATATCATGATAAGCTGGGAGGTGGCGCCGTGCGATGTCTCGGGATATCTACTCGAGCTGACGGAGGCCGACGGTCTCGGTTCGAACCTTACTTCAGGCTTATGCAAAGAAACGTGAGCATTCCCCTGGCGTTGCGAGACTCCTCGTATACGCAGTCGCGGCCGGTATACTGATCTCACGACCCTTCTTCCAGACAGATACATCTCAAGCGGGACGTGGCGAGATTCTTCTCGCGATTCTTTGTCTCCATTTATGCTGCGAACATAACTAGAAACGGTGCCGTGATGAAATCCACCCCGTCTGTGCAAGAATTCGCGGTCTGTCCGAGCAGAAGTGAGATTGAGTTTGGGGTCTGAACAAATCGGACCCTTGTAGATTGTGCTGAAGATTGTGCTTTTTAGATTCGGGAGATGTCCGATTGGTTAAGCTCATTTTGCAGAACCCGAGACACCGACTGACGTGAATATTGATGTCTATGCCGACTCGAAAGTGAAGTTCACTTGGCGTTCTACTGAAACTCTGTGGCAGATACAAGGCTTCACCCTCCTGTATTGCGAGGTAGGGGCATTCAAGCATCCTCACATTAAATTTTCCGGCCCCGGGGCGGAATTTCCACACGGTATCAGTCGCGTCCCAGGATTCTTTTGAAGGGGGGCGCAGACCAGATTCTCGGCGGGCCAGAGGTCCAAAATGGTGACACACCCTGTACTCATGCATGTAACGAAAGAAGCCCCCTTCCCCCCTGCATGGATACGCCTCTGGCTCGTATCGACCGCGCTTGTGCAATGCCATCTGGTGACACTTTCCTCCACAGGGGACCACGAACTGCAAGCGCAGAACGATCCCTTTTTCTGCAACTGGGATGAGCTACGAAATGTTCCTGTGGGACAAGAAATATACTGTCGAGCTGTTTCCTGTTTGTGATACCGAGGAATGCGGTATAGCCCGAGGAAGAGCTTATAGGAGCGTGCTTTATGGTGAGCACTAGGAGCTCATGCTCATTGGGAGAGAAGATTCTCACAGTCCCACGAAAGGCTACTCCTATCTTGTTTGCTCGAATCCATGTTGCTGACATAAACCATGAGTCAATAAGGGCAAGCCGGCCTAGAATAAGATAATGGCAGTCAAGGCAGGAACATCATTTCGGATTTCGACGTGAGCTGCTATCGGGACGCGAAGTCCCTCTTCACCAAACTCACATGGAGAGTGGATCCGGAGAAATTTGAAAACATAAGATCCCGGTACTCCTTCGGCTACAGATACACGGTGCGTTCCCAAAATCTATTCGGATTGGAAAGGATCCGACTTCCCCCAAAATGCGTGATACGATTCCAGAAGACCTTGCATCGGCATCGAGTAGTATTGTGCGTATCTCGCAGTGCGCCGTTTTCTGCGATTGCGTTTCCAAATACCTGCATCGTCAACAGAGGAACGACGAGCGCCGCGAAAGGTCGCGGATCCCAAAAAAGTCTCCCCGGAAAAAAATACATTTCTAACGAATATTTTGACCGATAAAGGTGTCCGGAACGGATAATTTGAAGAATTCTACCAGTCGCCATGATTTAGAAGATGTCTGCAACGCGCAGGGTGATTGTTCGCTGGTTTTGGAGAAGCTCATCCGACTTGATACCAAGTACGAGTTCGGGATATCGGCGAGATCCCACGACTCAGTCACCTACTACTCGGACCTATCAGATGGAGAGAAATGCATCCTTGAGACCAGAGGTACTTCCGATATTCGAGAGATATCTTGAAATTTCGAAGCGAGTTCGCATATCCTGTTCCCTTCGAACGGGCTGTCACTAAGTACCCGAGTCCTCAATGAAGCTTATCGTGTCGGAAAAACTTCGACCTTTCTCACCCTCAGCTCTGACCCACACCGAGGTTGCAATACTCGACAGAACTCAGAATTTCTCATCGATGATCGAATCAGTGGACACCGAGAGAGTCATTGTAATCGATCAGAACATCTTCAGTCTCACCGATGGCACGGTCGTGAGCTCCATGGTAGATTTGAGTCATAACCTAGCTCTCAAATCTATCATTCAAAGAGTTCGTTTCGAGCCCCGTATAGTCCTGGAAGAACTCGACCCTGATCCCCGACTCTTTCAGATTTTCGTCGGTGACCCGGACGAGCTGCGGAAGCCTCTCGGCGAAAACGTGCCTTTCAAGAAAGCTCTCAATGGCCGAGGGAAGCTTCTGCCGACCCGAATTACGTCACCCGAATGGAACGTATACTCCGCATGGAATAATGCTGAATCTCGTGAGTTTAGCTGTTCTTCTCTCAGGGACCCGGGCACTTCACAATCGAGCCGAAGGGTCCCCATAGCGAATGCACCTGTGCCATGAAATCCCGGGTGCGCACGAATCCCCGTCAAACTCTTATGAGCGTCGTCCCGCTCCAGACATCGACGATCCCGCTCTTCACTGTCGATGGATGTGGGGCGCACCGAGTAATTATATCGTGTGCGCCCTGGGTGTCGAGAAGTGCAGTGATTCTGTGGTCAAGGCATGCAATGGACCACTGCTCCCACACACAGAATACGGTCTGAAAATGAGAGGATGTACGACTTTGGGTTGCACGGACACCGATATGTTCCGCTTCAAGACCGGTATGTGAACGCGAGGAGCCGCTCAAGGTGTGTTCTGCGAGTGAACCAAGTGACGAGAATCGTTTTGCAGGAATCGGCGTGCTGCCAGATGATCCATCAGGCACGGATCCCAGACTCGGGATTCTTTTGGCCTTCATCGGCTGCATTATAGGTGGCGGCCTGATTATCGTCTTGCTCTCCTTGATAATTTTGAGATGGACAGAAATGTGAGTTAGCCTCGTGAGGAAAAAACGGCTTTGAGAAACTATTCTCTCGCACAGAAGGGAATCTCCGGTAACGAATTCTGAATCCTAGGAGAGAAATGCATCGTGAGCAACGTTTCCGGCTCGTCGAATTCTGACTGGTAAAGCTCCGCAGAGCATCTAGAGACGCCTCGGGAGGAAATGTGAAAGCATATACAAGTAGCGTGGAAGCGAAGCTACAGCGAGCGACCAGAGATTCTCACCCTCCCGCCTGCGAAGACGTTCGCGTCTCTCTCGGGGCGATTCTCTTCCAGAAGGATCGACAACCCCCGAAAGGTCGATGTTCAGGGATTCCGCTCGATTTCTTCGATTCATTCTTGTCAGATGATGATGTTGTTAAGTAATAAAAACCATGGTGTAAGTTTCACGGTGACTGCAGCCCGTGTCGGGAAAGTTTCTTCTTCGATGTCGTCCCCGGATGATATCCGTAGAGCCGTTACAGTGAAAAATTCCAGCGCGCGTCGCACATTAGTATCGAAATTCGCACTCCCGAAGATTCCTTCTCTCAGCTCGCCTTCCCCCTCGTAGCGGAGAGTGAGATCAGTGCACTCTGAGAATGAGCCTTTTGGGCCAGAATGGGCTGCGGAGATTGTCTCCCTGGTCATGTTCTGACAGAGACCGAGCTCCTGACGTGAAGTCAGTCGGGAGATGCAATGATGGACGTACCCGAGCTCCAGCGGATTCGGCGCCGTGTTTAGGGTTTCAGGGGTTGTCATGCCAACTCGCTCCGAGCTCCTCGGCTAGCGTTTGCTGTCCGCTCCTTCGTGGGTACCATGGAACTCGTTCTCAATCGCGTGGATTACGCTCAGGTAATTCGGATTCCTTTTTCTCGAGTCTCCTTCCCATCGGGTCCCCATGCGATCGCTCTTGCTCGAATCCAGGCACCCGCACCAACCCGTTCTTGTTTACCCGAAGGTTGATATAACTTCACCGAAATGCACTCGTCTGCTGCCCCCGACCGAGGCCAAGGGGATCCAGAAGGTTGTAGTCGGCAACCACAAAGGCGTACTTCACTGTTTCTCGATGAAAAAGGTGAAACAAGTTTCCGGATCACAGATAAGCTACTGCCAGACGCGGAACTTCTTCGTTTGCCCTCCAGATTTTCTCCACCCAATTGTACTTCAAAACAAGCACCGAATCATTTTCGCTACCTCTCCTTCGCTTCTGGATACATGTCTCATCCGATCATCCTGAGCTGTTCCTCCATATGATCCATTTTCCGAAGGTTGACGTGCAAACAACTTTTAAAACCCTCCCCTGTTCCGGTAAAATCAAACACGTGGATCTCGCCGGGCCGGTTGGATCCGCGCAGGATAAGATATTCATTGCGATCGGCAGCGAGATACAAGGCTTCACGAAGAAGGGGAAACAGTTCCTCAAATTCGAAACCAATCTCACAGAAGAGGTGAAGTAGGAAAGCGTTATGCGGGAGCCATCCCAATTCGGAGGAGTGAATTCGATGTCAAGTGAATAGGGTCTCTCTATCTGATATGAATCGAGTTCGGGTTGGAACTCACCGGAAGAATGTCGCACAGATCAGGGCCATTGCTGTCAACGGGAACGATCTGATGATCTGCACCGAATTCATCTACACCCATTATTTCGATTGCAAAGAGAAGCATTCCTTCGTGTGCTCCGACGTCATCAATGACGTGGTCGTGATCCGCAGGGATCAGAACACTCTGCTGGGTGCTCTCGCGTGTCAGGATCGTCTGATCAGGATTTTGAAGGCAAGCTTGAAGCATTATACACTTGGGTAGAGCAAAATAGAGTTGATCGTTTATGTTGGGAACAGCCCATCCTAGTGAGCGCCCCCGGTTTCTTCCGCAGAACCCTGACATTGAGATTCTGTCCCCAGGATGAAGATTGCATATGCGAGATAGAGTGTCTCGGTCCTCCTTTCACCCTCCTCCACTGCATAACCGAGAATGGTTCGTCGTGCGCGTCCAACTTAGAATGGCCTATAGAAGTCGTGGAGTCTCCTCGGAGAATTCCTTCGTTTTCAAATCAGAAATCAGTTTTCCGACTACCGAAGGCGATGACTTCAAGTCTTTCCAGAAAGCGATGAGATGAAACCCTCAATCGAGCTAATTTACGGGACGACCGACGGAAATATCGCTGCGGTCAACATCGACAACCTCAGCGAGCCACGTCCGGAATGGGCTATCCTTGACGAGACTAAACCCGGAGGTCAGCGAGAAGGACGTTTGCAAGGTTCCAAACGGAGGAGATGACTATCAAATTCTTCGGATTCCATTCCACCCATCGTTTATTCCCCAGGTGTAACTTGCCTTGATATCTACGATCTGAATGGTGACGGAACGCGTGACTTGATCATCGGTCGAAACGATGGGAACGTCGAAGTTTTCTACTTCAACGATGAAGACCAACCAGTCAAACGATTCTCCTACGTGAGTGACTCGAAAATCCAATCGCTTCAATCACCTCGGGACCCTTGAATTGACCTTCTGACTGCTCTATCATTCAGACTTGTAATGAAGGCATCACTTCCGTCATCGGGGGAATCGTGGGCAGCCCAGGATACGAGGAAATTCTGGTTACCACATACAACGGTTCGTCACATTTCTTGCGTCGGTGAGATCGTTAATTCCTATCCGATTATCCGAACTTCCGAAAGGATAAAAATCCTCTTTCAGGCTGGATATTCGGATTGACCACTGAGAACAAGGACAAGCGTATCGATCCAAACTACATACTCATATCCCAAGAGTCTGCCCAGAAAATCGTCTCTCTGAGGTATATCGGCGCGACAAACCCGAGTATGATCCAGTTTTCGACCAAATCCCATGAGAGGCTGCTCAGCCGTATCACTTCGAGTCACGATCGTTCCATCCTGGATCCGCAGGGAAGAAGTCGACGAACTCAATCGGAAAGTGGCGAGAATGAAGGACGCTTATCGCTCCCTGTCTCTGCAGCCCGAGAAAACGGTCTCAGCGGTGCCAACGCTCTCGGTCAGTGAGTCGTTCGTCCTCAACCACGTCGATGCGTCCTATCTGCTGTCAGTTGAGATGCAGATGCCCATCGAGTTCATTCTGATCCAATGCGATGCGCCAATGGACGTCTTGGACTCCGACAAAAATACTTCCGTCGTAAGCTTCAGTCCATGTACCCCGGAGGTAAGCAGATCGGCAGATGTTCGAGAGTTACAAAACTTTATCAACGCAACGTTCGCGAGTCGGTATTTGATCTCTTCGCTGCATTTCTCTTGAGCAGAGCGGAAACTTCCTGCTTGCAACGATGAGGTGTCAGGCAGACACGACCAGGATCGAGCTGAAAGTTCGCTCCATCGAAGGCCAGCCTGGTACTCTGAGGGTATACGCAGCCCCGCGCCTCCAGCCGAAGTGCGCTCAGCTGTTGAAATATCCCGTGAAGCCGCTGTCCCTCCATCGGAGAACGAACAAACAAGATCTGGACAGGCCCCTCAATACGTTGACTTTACGGTGAGAGAGAACAATGCAAAGTCCTCAGTCGTCATCCCGATCTTCGTTCTCTGGAACGCTGACAAGGCTTTTCTCCTCCAGGGGCAACTTCTCCTTGGCGGAGATCCATGCGTGGGTTGCGGCCACTCTTCCCGAAGTTCCTCAGAAATTGATGTCGGACAATGACGTCAATTTAAATTTCGTATCTACGTTCCTAGACACTGTACTTTACTGCACTTATAGGCGAAGCGAAGCAATATTCAAGTCGGACAATATATCAACGATGTCCATATTGAAAGATTCTCTCACGAACGAAGGTACAAAGAAGAAGATTCTCCTAGATATCTCTTGCGGTGAGTCGATGACTTCCAGGACAAATCTGTCAATTTTAAGCTCTAGGCGAGCGCTACGGTTCGCTACTATAATCGCAAACAAACGATTACAGATGTGAACGAGGAGAGTATCAAACATACGCTCAGCTTGATATATCCCAAGTTGGAATCTCAGCTCTTGCTCTCTCGTAAAATCCAACTGATCGATGCTTTGAACGAGTTGAGAGTACACGAGGGGGATGCATCATTCATGCCACCCCAGTACGGGGAAATTCTCGAGCAGGCCGCCCAGTTGCAAGCTGAGTTCAAGCGTCAACCGAATCATCTGGAAAGGCTCTATGGTAAGGGCGCCGCGCCGGCGATCTTCATCATTCGATAGATGGAGTCCCTTCACGATGCTGAAATCCCATTAGCCTCTTATGGAAGCGGAGGATTTTTTTCTCGCACGCCGGACTTGATTGAGAATAGAGAGAGATCGAGAAATGGGCTTATCGAAATTTTCCAGGCATGATAACCGATCTCTTCCTCGATGCTCACAAGTTCCGCGGAGTCAACGTCAAAAGCAGAGTATCAGATCTCATGGCGCTTTTGGAATCCGGAGATTTCGAGGCGATTTGCAAGATGTTTTCGGATAATTAATTCACGATCCGTTTCCGAGAAAAATCGAGCGTCGAGCTCCGGGTTTCGGGCCGTGCTGTAGTGAACATACGAGGAGTTGAAGTGAATAAATGTTATGAGACTTCGATCGCCGATCAAAGAAGTTTTGAATTAGTAATACGTGGATAGAGTCGCAAGTCGTTCCGGAAGCTCACTTCGCGACGCATTCGGTGCTTTCTTCCGGAACTGATCTATCAATGAGCACGCGAGAAGAATCGAACGTTGTCATAGATCGATTGCCTCTTCCGCGCTCTCTCGTCGTCCAGGCAATCAGAAAGGATCAAGAGCTAGGTCCTGATTCGAATACGCTGGCTTATTCCCCCGGTTTCACATCCGGGACAAGTCGTGGTGCAAAGATTTTTCCAGATGTCTGGCCCATATATCTGGTCGCTCGCGGCTTCGATACTGCTATCCACCATTCCTAGGGCGAGTCAGAAGTAAGTCCGGAGCGCAGTCTCCGATGCTTTTCGTCCAGCTCGTTGGATAGACTCGCCGGGCGTCGAAAGAGCCTGGGCAGTCTTCCGCATTCTTCTATTTTTTCCGTCGCTCCATGGGAAATCCTAATGGAGTTTGTGAAGAACCGATTCCGCACATCCCTAGATGATGAGCACGTCTCCGGAATTTCAGGCAGAGCCTCTCGACGATCTACGAATACGTCGCCGGTGAGTGGAAACAAACAGTCGTTTCCCTGTTCCATCGGTCTCAGCTGTATCTGTACAATTAGGGATGAACAAAATGATCCTAGATCATGATGTCCTGGACCTCCATTTCCAGAACACAAGCGGCCGTTCCCTGTTAGGATGACGATGCATTTGCTCGGAATCCACTCCTTGGAAACCGTGGAGATGGTATTCTCAGAGAACCTAATCGTCATCGCAGATCCTTCGACTTTTTTCACTTGCATGATTCGCTGCAAGCCTCGAATTTCAGCAATTCCGCATGGAAGTCATGTGCGAGACCCGTTGGAGCCTGCCTACAAGCACGCGGAAGCAGCTGCGAGAAGCACTTGAGCGCAAAGGCGTGAATCCGGAAGCGGAATATGTTTACCTCTCGTCAGATCTGGTACGGAGCATGACTGGATGTCGGAAAAGAAACAGATCATCAGTGATAATCATACTCGCCGAGACGGAATCGAACAAGCAGGATCTTATCAACAGGTCATAGGTGACGAACCATGGAAACCGGATCTTTACTTCGTGCAGGCCTTGAAAGTGAGCACACCGTCAACCAAGGAGACCTCGCAAGTTTTCATGGGCTTCGATAATTTGACCGAAATAATCCTTCATCAACGGTGCGAGAGATATCTAGCTTCGTTGCATATTCATAGATTCAGGTCGGATTCATCGTGAATTGGAATATCATCTCATTAGCCGGCAAGGCGTTCGTCTCGCTTGCAGGCTATCGCTCGTCATTTCTTGTCAGCTGGATTTGAAACGCTACCCCTTCGATTCGCATAGATGTTTGTTGCATGTCAGGAGCTGTGAGTCTCCGTCGAAGTTCGATCATGCTCTCCGGCTCCAAGGGGAACGGAACCGAAATCTTTAAGAATTTCTCAACAGCATCTCCTCCTTTCAGTTCTGCTCCCGGCCTCCCTTCTCGAATTCAAACTCCTTTCGCCCAAGGTAGAGATAAGCAGACGAGTTCGACGGCAGATGATCGGATTCGAGTTTCAACTGCATCTACATGAAACACAGATTAGCTACGGCGAAGAGCTGGGTTTGTCTCTAAGGGACTGAGTTTCGTGGCCCATGTACTGTGAGGTATGACAAAGGTCTACCGAAAATAGGAAGCGTCGTCATTTGTATTCTCAGGAGAGCCTTTCAATGTTTGGTTGATGGACTTTCGCATCGAACGTGTACCAATGCATCAAATATTGACGTCAATTCTGCCATCTACCATGCTGGTCGCTGTCGGTTTCTCCGTGCTCTTCATGGACGCAAGTGCGACAGCTGAAAGGATCTCGCTGAGCGTCATCACTCTTCTGACACAATACACTCAGCTCGCGATCGTGAGGAGGACACTCCCACCGTGCTCATACGTGACGGTACGGGGACCGATGAACCATCACTCCTGTTCTCCCTGCCCTCCATTCCAAGGAACGAGAGGGATAGCCCCGGCATTGAAGACAATTTTCCTTCGCAGAATAATGACGCGTACATGTTCGCATGTCTTATCATCATTCTGCTGATTGTGATTGAATGCGTCTTGCTCGACCACATACACAAGAGAGAAAACGTGAATATCCGATTCGGGCTGATCGAACCGCTCGATCAGGTACCGCGCTCATGATTTGTTGGTGATGAATGATCATTGATGAGTCTCCGTGTTCGATTGAAGGCGAAGCTCCTGGCTAAAACCGATGTAAGACTCGAGACAGACTCGAGACCGGAGTCCGAAGACGCCATCAGCAGAACGTTGGATTCTGATGATGTGTCCCGTTTGAGATCGCACCGTCCACTCCGAAGCAAGGTTTGTTCCGCGACTCATTCGATGTTTCAGCGGAGCCCGCACGTAAGTATCGAATGCGGAAGTGTTTTCCAGAAGAAGCCCCTGTTCGAATCGAGGTTTCGTATATCGCCGGATGGAGGGTCATCAAAGAATGAGATACGCCAGCGGCTGTTCCTCCATCGTCAATCCAAAGTAAACATCGCGCCTCCTGTTCGCGCGCTTCGCGGGTTTGGCGAAAATGTGCTCAGAGAGTCGGACGTGCAAGTTCAACAACTCCGATCGGATCATATCGAATCTCTTAGGGTGGCATACCTAATCGGCCCGAAGACCAGGAAGTTTGACAAGTTCTGCTGCCGCTCGACAATATTATTGTTCTTCTTATTCTTCGTGATGTTCTGGCTTGACAGCGTGATAGAAATATTCTGCCGTTACGAACTCGATGAATACGGTCGACCTGTCAAGACGTGTGATTCTTCTCTGTTCTGAAGCCTCCGCCACGTCCGGGGCATCGATGCTACACAAAGGCTCCTCGAAAAGCACGATCATTTCTCATATGCTCCGGGAACTTGTATATAATAGAAGACACAGCCTTCTGAAGACAATAGACCGATACATCACAATTTCCCTTGAGTCTTTTAGCGCCAGGTCGATCTCAAATTTCCCAACTCAGAAGTTCATCCTCCGCTCTACCCACTCTCCGAATGACTGAGTTGTTCACTGCTGAGGGATGGATAGGTGTCGATCACGTATTGATCAGGATCGGTAGTCCGAACGGAGTCAGGAACCACGCGTGGCAGCCTTCGATTACTAGGGCTTCCCTTTTGAATCTAGAGGCTTCACAAGGAAAGCTTCAAAAGCATACGGATGCTGCGTTTCGTCCTCGATGACAACTCGTTCAGCGGCCTCGAGGAGGGCATTAGAATTCGGCATTTCCCCCCTCTCCAGAGCTTCCATGGCTCGCGAGAATGCCCAAGAGGAAAAGGTGAACATGTTCGGCTGATCGTCCACGTCCTGCAACATGATCTCGGGTCAGGGACCGATCGTTTGATCCGCCTAGATGTATTATCAATTGCTCTCAATCGGCTAGAAACCAGTTCCGGTGTTCCGATGCTCCAAGGTTTCGACACTCACTTTAATTTTGCTCATGTCGGCGAACAATCGTGCCCTCTTCTGTTCCGTCATGGGGGACGACGAGGGCGAGATCACACCCGCGAAATGACACACCGGCTGTGGCTCCGCCGGCGCGGGCGTTTTGCCGTCCTTCATCTGAGCTTGCGAGTCGTCCACGGGGCCGCTTGCCTTCACCAAGTTTTTCTTCAAATCAGGGACAGCCATCGTTGGCGTGAGCAATTCTTGGTGGAGTGTACTTTTGAAAGCTAGTTCCTGCGCGTAGACCTCGACGATGGGGTCGTATTGAATGAGGACCGGAGCTGCCTCTATTGAGTACCAGTCGGTGCCTTCGAAGAAGGGATGCTTCTGGAACTCACTGTAGTGTCCCGAGCAGAGGCGAACTGATTGGTGAGGAATGGCAATGAAGCTTAGAGTCACGTCTCGAAATAAGGCCCCCAGAGCGACCAACCAAAACTCTGACCGACGGACGGAGGCGATCCCCTCGCCTGATTGACTCATATATTAGTCCCGCTGTCGCATGTGCTCACATTTAGGATTTATCCGGAGACAATCGTTGACGAACTGTTTCAGTTTCGCCTCGAATTCTCGGTCGCTCGGCCAACTGTACGATGCGCTGATTATTTGACTGTGGAGCAAGTCCATTGACGTGATGTCGAAAGGCAATCGACCCGTCGCCAGCTGATAAGTCACCACACCCAGAGCCCACCTGAGAACCGGTATTAATGGAACCTTCGGATTGAATGGAAGAAACACCGGTACAGGGGAAACCTAAATCCACGACCTTCATGCTGCCGCGGATGAAGCTCCTCTCCGATCCTAATCAGAATCTCACCAGTCCATAGTTCGGCCGTAACCTCTGTTCGTGACGCATTCCGGCGGAGTGTACGGATACGTGCCAGCGACCTCTGGCTGATAGAATTCCAGTTTCGTCCGGGAGTAGAAGGAAGGCATTAACTTGTTGTGGAATTTCCCAATGCAAGCTTTCGCCGTGTCGAAGTCGATGAGTTTGATTCGACAACCAGGAAGGATCATCATGTTCTCGGGCTTGATGTCTCGATGGATAAAACCGTTGAAATGCAGATGCTGTATCGCGACCCCGACTTGAGCGATTATTATTCTGACAACAATCGTCGGCAGGAAGCTACAGACGCGGAGCAGTTTCGATAGGTCGACGCCTCTTATGTATTCCATGATGGTAACGAAAGCTCCCTCAGCGAAGAAAGTAGCATGGTACTTCACGAGACAAGGATGGTTTATCATGGAGGCAACCATTTTGTCCATGATTGCGTGTTTCGCGCTCGGCATCATTTGAGGGGGTACGAGCTTGACGGTGCACGCACTGTTCCCTAGCCACGCTTTGTAAACTGCACCGAAACCCCCAGCACCTGCGGAGGAACGCATTCTAGGTATACCTGGCGAGACAGAGCACTTGACTCTAGCACTATCGACTGGAGAAGACGTGAATTCAGACCGAGGATTTTGTCCAGCTGCAAGCGCTCGATTTTCCCGACGATGGGTTTGTTGATTTTCTTCCGCTCGCAACTTCGCTTCTCCAAATGCGAGATGACAGTATTCCAGTCCGTCGCTGGAAAATTATTCAGCGGTTCTCCTTGACTCACTATTTTCTCGGTGATTCGGATAATCCTAATCATCAGGTCGTCCAAGAGCTAGGGGAGAAGTCTCATATGAGAGGGACGCTCATCATCATGACGCAACACCGTCGGAGAGTTCTCTTGAGCTCCCGCATAGGCGCAAGCCAGACTCAAGGAATTCCATTCATTTGCTAGCTCACTCGAAATGATTGAGAAAACGCTGCATCGTAGATGCTCTCACTTGGGCCGCTCCGCTGTCACGGGAGCTGATTTTTTGTCCGAGATGATAGAGGTTTTCGAGACCTTCGCGGTACCGTCCTGCGGAAAACTCCCCGACTTTGAGCTTTATGTAGATATCCTGTGCGAAAAGCATCGCTTGCTCTCGAGCATAACACTCTCTCGGGTAGAGATCAACGTTGAGTTTCTTCATTTCTTTTATGAATGCCGCCATTTGGTCCAAGATTTTGTAAAAATCGCTGGAAATCGAGAATTCAGTCGTTGGGTTTCGGTTCCGTCTGATAGGAATCAGAGCTCGATTCCTCCATCACTTCTCTTTCTCTCCCATTCAGCTAAACAATCGACGTTGTGTCGGGAATATTCATATGTTACGTTCCCTCGAACTCACCCAGGCAGGAATTTTTTGAAAACATCTCCGAAGACGTTTTCGTAGCCTGGAATTGTCGATGCGCGATGAATATAAGGGGTTCCCCTCCTGAACGATGAAGTTTCGTCTCGCACAGCGGGCGGCGATCGGCGATCGAATGTAAAGATGCTTTCCGCATAGAGAAGCTCCGCGTTGACGGTCTCGATTAAGAGCCTCCGTAAAGATCCAAATACCTACCGGGTAACTGCGTCTCATCCGATGAGCTCGAAGTCCCTTTTGGGCCAAGCTTGGTCGTGAGATTCGGCGCTTTATGCATTTTGTTTTCCGGGGAAAAATCAGAGCAATTTTTGATTCTTCGTTGTTGTCATACGCGCGAAGCAAGTCTTGATGACCGTGGTCGACCCTGCTTTCCTGCGTGTGCTTGATGAAATGAGAATTCCGGAGATCTATCTAGATCAATCTCTTCCTGCTGAGCAACGGTGCGGTCGAAGAGAATCAGTCTGAATCGTAACAGCGGCGAGCAAAGAGCTTCTCGAGGCCTGCTCGCAAACTGCTTTCGACACGAGTAGCAACTTCGGCAAGAATCGTCAGCAGCAGCCATGACCTATCTATGATTATTTACAGACGGACAGCGATTTCTCTCTATCATACGCGAACTCCACTCGCGCCTGAAATCGGGGGAAACGGGTTGGAATACGGTAGATAAAATCACACCGACCCCGCATGTCGATAACCGCTCTCCCAGAATTACTCCAACTCGAGACCACTGAAGATGACTTAAATGCATCGGTCATCGTTCATCGTGAATAGGTATCAACGTACAGAGCTTGAATACAAGCAAGACCAGATCCAACTCCTAGCCGTTCCAAATTATCGCTGCTGACGGAGACATGGATGCAGTCAACGATGGAACCAGAGACAAGGGGGCTTCCCGAAAGTAACACCGGGAAGTATGTGAAGCGTGATCAGGGGGAGTCTTGATCCACAAACGGAGCGATTCTGATGAGAAAACGATGCCGCGCTCGTCTTTTGACCTCACGTCGGCATCGGAGGCGGCCACGGTCGGGGATCACACCAAAGGCATGGCTACCTAACTAACGGGTGGCTCACCGTGGAAATGGATCCTCCTCTATACTATCTATTCGCTATCTACTCATATCAACGAGAAGGAATGAACGATAGAGAACCTCATCTTTACGACTACAGTAGAGCTCATCGAATGCAATGAATCTTCTAGGGATCGGAAATTCAGGCTCTGAGAGTCTGGGAGGAAGACAGGCAGTAAGACACTGAAAAACTGACAAATAAGGCGAAACAAGGCATGGAAAGCGATCGCGGAGAATGTTAGGAGAACGCCTCCAAATGGCAAAAATATTGAGTAGCTCTCCATTCACAGTTTCCGACATTGCACGTTATTCAGGGGCGAGGCGCATCTACGAAGCAGTGAGCGATCTTTTCGGGAATCAGGCATGCAGCTGTCAGGATCGGCAACCCAGGGAACCGCTCCGAGGAGCGGCAAAAGTTGCAGCTCGACTTGAAAGAGGGAGCAGAATCGTTCGACTGCTCTAGAACGACCATTTCATACGAAGGAATCAAGCCGTATAATCGACGAAATAAATCGAATGGACTCCACGCCGCCTGATCGGATGGAGTTGGGGCCGACCTGGGGATGGATTTCCGAGTCGTGAAGCTTCTCTGTGAACATCACGATTCGATCCACCGGGAGCCGAAGTTTCTGTCCGGACGCTGTTTTGATGGAGAATCCTGATGGGCGAAGGAGGCAAAGTTTTCGAAGCTCCTCCGAAAAAAGCAGAATGCTGATGAAACCTCAGGAATAGGCATTATGAGGCGCTCGTGGCGTTCTGCTTGGACTTCCAATCTCTAGACCTTATGGTGCCCAAGGCCGGGATGGGCGATATCGATCTGATTGAAAGTAAGAAAATAAAATCCGACCACACGAATTTACCGGAAAAAAAACGGCCCCAAAGGATCCCACGGTGGAAACCACTTTCGACCGTAGTACAATTCATCTGACTTTTCTGAGGTCGCTGAGAATATCATGCAGCGCATACATGCAGTACTTTCCGTACAATCGTCCGATTTTAAGCATGAAAAAATCAAAAGATATGATACTACAGGACAGGTGCATTTATTCCATTATGCTTCTTCGAAGAAAGTCTTCATGCATAAGTCTAGCCGTTGGAGCTCGCAGGGGTCTCGAACCCTGGTGGCCTCAAGCCTCTCCCTTTCGGAAACTTGCACGCACCCCCTACTTCGCCATATCCTTTCTCTACTTGTCGCCGGATGTGATACGCAGGATGCGGCCGAGCCCAGATAAATAATTTTGATTCTCCGAAATATAATACAAATTTTCCCCACGCCAAGAGCGCCTGCTCGCGGCACCAGCTCTCGGAGCTTTTGCACCGGGTCCCCACTCTCTTTGATCATCTTCTCTGAACCAAATGAGCCATTTGTCCGATGACTCAAAGCGAGACTGAGGAACGTCATCGGGGGATCCGAATCGGGGTCCGGATAATTTTGGCGGGTACCTATCTCCGACTACATTAGACCATATCTGAGGAACTTTGATTTTGAGCTCGATTAGGAATAGGCGGACGACGGATACCTGGCATACGTTGGGAGAGCATTCTCTGAGCCGTCAAAGCGTGAGCGATGATGGTAATTGAAACAGAGTGGATCAAATTGACTGTCCTTTTCTCCGGTCATTAACCCATGTAGCGCATTCTCACGGTCATCCGACGCGGGCCTCGAACAACGTGTTGAACCGACGAGACCAGCTTCTATCGAATACTTCTCCTTGAGGATGCATCCCGAAATCGCAGTTTGCTCCCTTGAACACTCTCGAATGCATAATTTCGCTTCTCGAAGACGATGGGGAAATTCTGAGTCCCAATATAACAGTGAGACGCTCCGGGCGTGATCGTATCAAGGCTCGCTCTTAGGATCCGGGTCTGGAATATCGCATACCTTCTTACACGCACGTTCTGCGTCGAATTGTCGAGAGCAGCTCCATCCAGGATATATAGGGAGATTCTCATCACTTACCTTCTGCAGGAGCGCTTGTTGCTCTAGCAGCTGTCAATTTCAGGAAATCGATGTAATTGATCTCCGGAATATTTCTAGCATTTTCTGTCAGAGGGGGCAGGTTTAAGGGAATTTCTTCTACGGGCAGTTCACTTTCGGCGATGGAAGCGTTGATGAGTGGCAGTATTTTCAGTAGTTGCACCAGAGGCCGAGAATCGGAAGCCTCGACACCGAATAGCGAAGCACAGACCGCGAGCGGAATGACAAGTACAAGCATCCTGAAGCTCGAAGTGATCCTTCGGCAAACTGAAGTTCCCGAAGGCTCAATGAACCGAGGATTCTAGCGCTCCCGGTAGGAACAGGAATTATTCCGCGAGGCTGAAACGCCGCATAATCCGCCCGTAGATCGTAGGTAGAAAGTCATTACGGGAAGAGAAAGGGTCAAGAGCTAGATATCGGAGCGTTCTCGCCAGATGACGAAACTCTTTCGGATGTTTTTTGCGTCATTATCTTAAGATTATGTTCGTACACAAACAGCAACGTTCAAGCTTAGGGTGCTCGATTAGGCGTGCTCGGTGAATGAGAATCTCGTTGATAGAGCGTCCCAATTTTTCGGTTGGCTCGGCTCACTCGGCGCACACCTCCTCGCAGATTCGTGAAACGTGGAGACGGGACCGTGAACTTCGTGGAAAGAAAACGGAAAATCTTGATCGCTCTGTGTTTCCCCATTCTCTCGACCAGAAAAACCTGATTCCTCATGGAAACAATCTGGCCTTTCCGTCATTAGCCCATGACGTGGGCGTTCAATGCGTGTCTTCCAGAATTCAGAGTCTGGATGCTAGTTCTTCCGGGAGGCACATTCCTATTATGATGAGGTCGCCCGACGACACAGGTTACTATCGATATCGTGACTTTTTTATTATATTCTTATTTTCAACGCTTCACCTATACAATGCAGCATGTCGACAACTTCCTTAGCTGTCACAGCTATCGTAGCTCCGGGAGCGCCAAAGGCGGCAAAGGAGCCAGAGCAAAAGCTTCCTCCAAGATGCAGCTCCGGTCCAAGGAAGGCATCTGGATCCCGATAGGAACTACTGGATGGCAGACGGGGCATCCTCGAGAATCGACCTGAAACGTGATAGAAGAAGGATGGAGTTGCGGTCTGGATCCATGGACTCATCAAACACTTCATATCGTTCATTGTATACGCAAGAGCGAAAGACGACCCCTCCCTTCCCGGACAAATCGCTTGATCGCTTTGGATGAGATCTCCGCGTCGCTTCACAGCGTACCGCGAAGGCTGGGATTGAGCCTCATCCTTATCCGAGACTCCAGCAAGCTCCTTCAGAGAGTTCTCCCCATGCATTTCCCGAGTGACTCATCTGATCAGGTTTTGAATACAAGAAATGAACATCGACCAACAAAATAGAATCTGATATGTATAATGCTCTGAGCATAGATCAGAGCTCATGGTCCCAGCTCGACAGACTCTGTGAGCAGGAGTGTCCCTCGAGCAGGAGAAGTCGATACTGTGATTGATACAGTCAGAGTGTCATGACAGCTCGTACATAACGTAATCTTCGAGTTGGTTGACCTCGGAGAAAAACATCCCTTACCCGCGGACGGAGCCAGGAAGTACTCGCTCTTGCTTGTTCGCAGTATCAGAGGCTGGTATAAATGGGCTCGATATTTCTCCAAACGCCCCATTGTTGGCTGCAGGAGCGAGAGTGTTACCTGATAGAAGTCCTGTGGCTCTAGACCGATTTGCTTGGACAGTCCAGGGTTGAATGCGGGATTGCAACACACGTTCTTCATGTTAGGGCACTTCGTCTCGTCGCACAAGGCCTTGAAGTATTCTTCTTGCATGAACACCTGAATATTTCTCTCCTCTGAGCATCAATCGGCAATCGGGGTATATCCGGAGTAATAGGCAGTAGATATTCTCTGATTGATATACTTCGAGTCTCTTCTCGCCGTCCACCTACCTCAGCAGGAGTTGGTACACTAGCACCCATCACTCGTTTTACGTATTCAGCAAGTTCGGAGGAATTCCGCACAGCCGCTCCGAACTGGCAGAGTTTTTCACGGAAATTAGGTTCGGCTCGCATGCAAGCTCTGCAGTCACAGCTCCGGATAGCGTCGAAATTGTTGTACAGTATGCAGGAGCGCGAAATATTTGATGCGATCCAGAGTTTGTCAAGGAGCTCGTGGTAGCCCCGGACGCCGAGATTAGAATCTTGGGGACGAACATCGGTCGCAGTCAGCACGGGACCTGGATAAACGTCAAGAGAATGATCTCACTCAGTTACGAACACGGCTGGGGTTTCGCCTGTAGAAGGCGGACTGAAGGGGATTACCTGTCGCTCCGGCTCTCGAATCGACGCTCTCCGTGCCGTTATCCTCGGACTTGACCATCGGTTTCTGAATGAATTCCACGATTCGAACTTCATGAACGTCTCTCGCATTCTCGGGTATCGGCGGTAGATCGAAGGGGAGCCGTTCACTGTTCAGAAGAGGATACGCACCAGCGTCTTGCTCAGTTCTATTCTCTGCTTGAGGCCGGGGTCCTGACGGATTACCGAAAAGACTCGGAACACAGAACAGACCAAAAGTCAGCAGGAGAATCATCGTGATTCCGTCACAGACCCCGTCGAGTTTCTACGTGTTGAGCTCGATGGTACGAGGCGCATCTAAGCGAGGCCCTCTCAAAAATCAGAGGTACGAAAGAGGAACAAAACAACGTCTCGTCAGACGTAGCTTTCTGGAAAAATGAAAAAGAAAGGGCACGTCGGAAGCCGGCAGGGGAGGAAGTCGGGCCAACGGCATTGACCCGATCTGGCGGACTGCCGGATAGCGGCGCTCTGACCAACCAGCCGAAGAGCCGCGCTGCATCGTCTAATAAAAGGGTGTGATGCGAATCACCTCTCGCGTCGGCGTTCCTGATCGTAGGGAAGCGATGCGGTCTCCTCTACATTGTTTGACCTCGACATATCGCCGAGACCACCGAAGAGTTTTTCGACGCTGCATTGCTTGGGAGCGAATGGCGGCGCTGATGACGTCATCTGGTTTCGTTCAATGCAGATAATGACGCAGATTTCGTCGGCGGAAAACCCTGGAGACGCCCCTTCATGACGGCGAAGTTTTCCCGCTGACTAGGCGAATGGGGAAAGTTTTGTCGAAACCCTTCCCTCGGACAGCTTTTGGAGCATTATAAATCACTCCAACGATAGAAGCGTGAGAGAATACTTCGATGTCTTGCATGCGATCCCCCGCTCCGGTAGAGAGGATGGAATCGCTCCACACACCACAAGTCGGCAGTTCGTCAGGCAGCTTCGGTGAGAATCGAGGAAATAAATCTCGGTCTCATCAGCGGATCTCCGCGCAAGACAATCTCGTTACTGACAGAGATCCGACAACGAGGATGCGGCCTGCATCGATTACCGGGTTCGGGAGAGAAAGTTTCTATGATTGAAAGTACGTGTAGCTGCAGAAAATACTTAATCAGGATATTCGTGTTTAATCTCGAGCAATCAGACAACTTAGGGTCTTAGTAACGGAAGGCCTCTCCGGTGAACGCTTGCTTGCTGTTGAGCCTCAGCTAAGCAAATGCCCTACCCGATAGGTGTTAATTGGCCTGCGGGCCTGGCCAAGCGCAGGGGCTTAATCCAGGACACGGAAGAGGGCCCCGATATCACGCACACATATTTGCTGAAGCCAGAATCGGAGAGAGTGCTGCAGGTGCTCGCTCAGCGGATCCGACATCCGGATGTGATCTCCCTGAGTCCCGATGGGCATTATGCAGCAGGCTCGGAACTGTCGATTTAGTCTCAACAAGCACGGTGGTCTCAACCTTGGGATCCCACGCCGCTCGAGATTTGCCGAGCCCACATCCCGGCGACACTCCCTGAAGCGAGCAATTACCGCTGCGTGGGAGTTAGCTCTCATTCCCACACGAGATCCCTTGCGGATGCGAGTCGTATCCTTCGGCCATCAGAGCTGAAGGCGGGCTCAAAGAACCTCAAGAGATCCCGCAAGCGCCCACCGATGAAAACAGTAATGAGACGTGATGAGAGAACTATCCGGGAACGAAGACAATAAATTCCTGTGAGTATTTTCATTGAATAAGGGCTTGGATTAATGGGGGGTACCTGCATTCCTGAACGCAATGGTGTCCACCGTTGTTGAATGTCTATATCCGGGCCAGAAGTCTCGAATGAGCATTAGTGATCCCCTCCGAGCGAGGAATTCCACGCCGGGCTAAGGGTGGAACTGTAAACCTGCTGCCTACCAACTTTGGTCCCGTCTAAAATGGAAGTCTTTGAAAGGGCGTCTAAAGCTCAGGGTAACTTTCTGCAGAAGCTACCCAGGTAAGCTTCGCACCGCAAATCGGAGTCATCCTGTAGGGTTCTGAGTACCTGAAGAAAACAAATCCGGAGCAGCAGATTCCTCAGAGCGTTACTTAGACCGCACTCTCGGAAGTATCTGACATGATCATAGGGCTCTGACAAGCTTGTCAGAAGACCTGACTCTTCTATTCCTCATCCCCACCCCTCCGAGGGCAGAGGCGGCCCTGTCCGGAACTAGGGGGATACGAAGGTTGGCGAATGAAAAAAACAGTGGAGCACGACCCAGAATTTTATTATTCCACCTATGCCGGAGTTTTGAATGATGCGGAAAAATTTTCCATCGACTCTACTGCACCGATCATCCCATTTGAGCGCTCAGCTCAGATAATTTCGTCTGGACCGTTTGTGAGAGTTGTTTCGCCCCCTCCTTCATCTTGCTGCCGAGTACCGCGGCGTTGCCTCTGATACGATCCATGAAACTGGTCGGTTTCGCAGTGACTGGAGCCGGCGTTGTCACGCGGTCCGTTTGCCCCGAAACCGTGGCGAGAAGCAGGAAGAACGCACCAATGAGCAAAAACACCCTCATTTCTACGATCCGTAATCACAACACTATCTTGAAGCCCGAAGGTCAATCGCGGTACTTAGGGAACACGAGCTAGTCCTGGGCCGCACCCGACGCTTACCGTGTCTTTGTTGCGAGATCCGTGTACTCACGTGGTCTGTCGGTGACCGAAACCCAAGAGAGGAGGAAAACGGAGGAGAGCGCACTCGACTCCCATGGATCTGCGGCGCTACAGCGAGAATTTTCGGAGGTTTCGGCGAGGTCCATTGCTTGATTCAGCGCGTGACTCGCATGGAGCAATACGGGGAAAGCGACAACTGCATCCAATAGATATCTGCGCACCTAAAGGGTTTCTATAGAATTCGGGATCGTAGAAGGCGAAACGCGAACTGCTTGGCACCGTGTTTGTTCAACATTTCGACGGACGCTTTTTGTCGTTCGACTCAGGGTCAATAGCGAATCTAATGTCATGCTCTATTCTCTCCAAGAAGAGACTCCCGGCGGATTGTAGCGCCATGTGAGGGAAAGGGTCACGCAACACAATGGAAACTAATTGCTTTCTTTTTATTCAATCCTACTCAGGCTTTGGGCATTCGCCATGCTCACATCATGGGGTGCGCTCTCTGTTTGGGGAGGGGTAGGAGCGATTCTTCTTATATTAGGTAAATCAAAAAGTCCGTAGCGTTTTTTGTCTTGGAGATGAGGTAGAAGAAGACACGAACTTTTTGATTTACCTTTTATTTCAGAGCCAATCGTCTAATTCTATTGTATCTATTCTCGGGATTTCCCCACCGAACGCATGAATTCAAGCCAAATACACAGCGGAATCTTCGCCCAGGGTCGAGATCCACTACTCATACGGCTCCTTCGGAAATCGCTCTTCACGGAGTATTCCTTGGTCGTTGACGTTGGACCCCACCCGAGTAGCCGATGGCGGATACTTTCGAATGATAGATCTGGACACGGCGCTCGACCATCGGTCTCCCGAGCGTTTCAGTCACTGTTAAATTGAGCAGAGGACAGCGAGAAAGGAATGCTCGAGTCCGAACGCTCCTTGTCTATTATTAAATTCCAGATTTGATCTCTATTGGCAGCAATGCCCTCATCCAACTATTCTTGACATACAAGACGGATGACAGAGTTCGGTCAGACTGTAGTTAGAGCTCCCGAGCTGCCGCAAATTCCGAGAGCAGTGGGTGCGGGGCACATGGAGAACAGATACAACTGAAGAGCTCTCCCGATTGGTGATTGATTCGGATTCAATGAAATCGGGCATGCCGATGAATCCATCATGGAATTATCGATAAGCCATTTGAGGATAAGTCCTGGGAGCTTTCATCGAGGCACCAGATAATCACCGGTTCACCACTCTGACTGGAACCTGGAGATGATGCAGCATAGAGTCCGTAAGAGCGTCTTTGCCGAGTTTCTCCGTCACGACCGATCCTCGGGCTCGGAGATCCTCGGATCTCTTTGTGTCACGGGCTCGAGTTCTTCATTTTATCTCTGTTGCTCGCTATGCAACCCGCTGTTCAAACTCATTCTCGAGTGGTTCTTCTCCTTGTGTCTCCCTCGCTCCGTTTTTTTTCCGTTCCCTAACCACAATGCTGAGTGGCCGGACGTTTTTTCCTCGGCTGGGGTGCCTGCGTTTGCTAATGCTTGTTTGTGGACACAGGCGACAGTTTGCTGCTTCTGCTGCGAACAGCGGAGTCCGCTTGTCATTGGCTGTGCTCGCAATCCACAAACACTTTTCTTAAGCAGACAGACACGCAAATTCAATCGATAAAGTGCTCTCAGGCCTTGTGCTCACATACTAACGAAAGAACTCTATCCCGCGTCGCGTTTCTACGGGAACCAAATTCAGTCGCCCTCCGCCTCACCCGTTAGCTGAACGAATCACATTTCAGTTTCAAAATGATGTCAGAAAACATCTCCCAGGGTCAAAGAAACAGGAAAAATTAGCTGAAACGACGCGTATGACAATCCCGATCATAGACATTATCCGGAGCAATGTTCCACGATGTCTTCCACGCCTGAATCCTCGCCAATCAACAAGATTCCGCCACGGGAATTATTCCGGCAAGGACGCGTTAGAACTCGCATCGGCGGTCAAACACCAGGGAGACGTTCGAGAGATCAGCGCGTTCTGCGCCTCGAGCAATACCTGCGTTTCGTTTCGTGAGCTCTTTCCGAGGAACGTCGCTCTCATATTTCGAGACGTCGCTGTTCTTCTCGGGGAGGAATATCGGTGCTTCCGCCTTGGCTTCTCGGGAGGAAGGTTTGACGCCGACTAGTTTTCGCAGAATAATTGGGTCATTAATCCATCGACTACAGTGCTCTTTCGATCCGTACAGATCCGAACCGCATCGACGCCTTCTCGGTGTGAATTTGACTTGAAGGCTATAGCTACTCCAGTCCAAGAGATGAATGGCATGAGTGGCCTTTGTCAGGCTTCGGAGCCGAGCGAGCTACCCCGAGGCTCCTAGAACAGTACGCCCTCGCTCGAAGTACCGTCTCTCTGATTCTCCCTGTGTCGAGCTCGGCAGCATTATTCGGGAGAAGAACATCTGCTTCCCCTTGAAACTGAGGAGGGACTTTTTTCCACAATGGTATCACCGGCGGCGGATCGAGGCTCGCACAATGAGAGGATTTATTTACACGGACCACACGTATACGAGCTGATAGTCATTCTAGTTCAGGAGCTGAATGAACTCCGGAGCTGGTGTCAGATGAGTTCAGTTCCGGACCTATCCACCGGACCCGACGGATAGAGGAACACGAATGGCATCAAATTTCTTAAAGTTCACCTAACACACAACGCTCACGCCACGACATAAATAATACATGCACGGATCCACTAACTGTACAGAGTAATATACAAACTTGTCATCAACGCTTAACGCGATCTCTTTGGTCTCACCAAGCGTCATGACCGCCGATGACCGGAAGAGGCGCATCGAATATCGGCCCAAGGATCTTGAGGATAGGGGAGTGGGCATCGTTACCTTCGGGCCAGCCTCCCTCGACAGCGCCGGCCTCCTTTATAACAGGAACCGCAACAGGAGCGGCTGCTTTAATCACTGGCTGTGCAATAGGTCCAGCAGGCTCATTGATGATTATCGGAGCCTGGGCCCACGGCCCGGCCGCGGGACCGTGGCCGTCTTTCATCGGGAGCACGATCGGTCCTTGTTCGATGGGGGCAACGGCCTTGATGGGAGCGGGAACCGGGACGACGGCTTTGATTAACTTCGGTTCTGGGTGCTTCTTGACGAAGTAAGGCTTCACAATCACCGGAGCCGGATGGAGGAAGAAATGCTTTTTGTGAAGAAGAGTTTTTGGCTTCCGTCCGATAGAGAATTGGTAACCGTGGATAGAGAAGTGGTGTCCCTTGGCGGGGATTTTCTTCTTGATGACCACATTCCCGCGATAGAGCGGCTCGTGTTTCTTCACATGAGTGGGGCCATGGTGAGCGTGCTCAACGTGTTCCACGTGGTGAATGTGAGCGGGGGCGACATGCCACGGTGCGTGCTCAGCGATCGGGGCAGCATGCACGATGGGTGCGTGGTGGGTTGCATGAGAAACTTCTGCGTGCTCAACGGCGTGATGATGCTCGTGTCCGTGATGATGGTGATGATGATGATCGTGCTCGTGATGATGATGATCGTGTCCGTGATGATGATGATGATGATTATCGTGCCCGTGATGATGAAGGTCGTGCCCGTGGTGATGATGGAGAAGATGATGTTCAGGCTCGTGATGGAGGTGATGATGTCCTGCCTCGTGATGGAGGTGATGGTGAGGAGCACTTATCAAGGGTTCCTCGTGTTTGATTGCGATTGGGGCATGATGCGCCGGCGCCGCATGCAAAGGCTCGATAGGTCCGTGATGAGCTATAGGCTCATGATGCTTCAGGTAAACGTGTTTCGGAGGGAGCAGGACTTCTTTCCTGGAATCAAATGCAGATTACCCGGGATGCGAATAGGCAATCCACTGTCTCAGAAACATACACAGTTGATGGAACTATAATTTTGGAGTCCCAACGCGAACCTCCAATGGATTTCCCCGATTGGAGTTTCGCCTCTTGACACAGGTTTGTTGAACTCACTGTCCCTGATGACCATGAATAATCCCGTGCTTAATCAGGAGCGATCCGATATGCGATCCGGCTAGAAACCCTCCACCGGCACCTACGGCACCTGCACCGCCAGCTGCAGCACCTCCGATCACGAGTTTTGCGTGTTTAGCAGAGACCAAACCGGAGCACGATATAGCCGCCAGGGCCAGCACTACATTGAACACCTGCATTGATGTCTCACTATAATCAAGCCACTGTTTAAGCACTTGACGATGCAGACGATGAACGTTTGAACCCGACAGCATCTATATAAAGGAATCACTGACTGATGGTGAGGGTCGGGTAAGACCTCCAATTGATGTAGCGTCTCCGGCAGATGAGCTGCTTATCTATCCGCTCGCGTTGCATAAGGGATCAGTGTCTGCTACGACGGATACCATATATGCTATCCCGTTCTTCGTTCGGCCCCACTATCTTCCCCCACTCCGATCTGGGTTTATAGATAAATTTACCCCGCCAAAGAAAAAGTCACAGCCACCGCCGCCTCATCTGCCGCTGCCGACGACACAATCGTCAACATCGGAAGGTGATCCTTGTCAAGCTGTTCTCATACGGGATGTCATCAAAGGGCGGCCTGAAACAGCCGAAAAGAAAGGACTAATTTCGTCACGGGGACAAGCCTGGCGAACAATTCGTCGAAACCGTGACTTGAGACTGTGGCTTTCCAACGACATTGAAATCGAATGAAAATCACGATCATTCACCTTCTGGCATGGGGTACGATCGTGAATCACCTTCAAATCCTTTTTCTCGGAGTCGCTTCTGAATCGGTACATTATTTCGCCTGGTCAAAGACTCTACAAGCGATGGTGCGCGGCCGTTTGGTGCGAAAATGAGCAGCTCAGAAGTATATCTTAGACTACGCTCACTGCACTGTTCGGCTCTTAAATCTTTTCAAGAAATGAACAGAAGAATGAAAACCAGATGCTATGCCCCCAGTATATTTGCTGTGAAATGAGAACTCGATTCAGTTATGTAACCAGCTATGACAAATGAACATTTTCTGAGAAACGATCAGCGAGATAATCATTTCGGCGGAACCGCTGTGCCCTAATTTCGAATATTCGCCGTAAATGAGGCTTACCGCATCGTTCACCGATGCGACCTTCCAGACAAACATCGCTTGATCCCTCCGGCCCGCTTGGATCCCTGCAATTATCTCGCCGGGTCAAAACTCTGCTGAATAACTGAGGCGAACTCGCTGCTGCGCTAAGCATAAGTTTCGTCTTAGATGAAGAAGTTGTATACGGACACTGATCCGGATAGTGTCCGGGATCTGGGTCCATTGGATGCGCTCATATATTTCGAGGAACTTGATTATTATTTGTGAGATGTTCGAATGGATTGGGTATCGACATCGCGCGACCTGGCCACTGTTTGAGCATTGCTTCGGGAATTCTAGTCACACTCGCAAGATCGGAATTAACTTATCAGACGGAAACAACAACTCATCGAATGCGCTTATTATACATTCGTACGACTACTTCATTGCGCAAATACAAGAGATACTATGTTTCGCGACGAAACCGCATAGTTTAATTTGCTCGCGGTGGGTCGATCGTTCCTTGGGGTCGAAAGACTCCGCTTTGATTTCAGGCGTCAGTCTATCTTGCACATCTCGATAATTAATCATCCAACCCTCCATTGGCATACGCTCTCGAATGGCGTGTATCATCTCTGCCGTCGAACCACGATCTCCTCCGGGGAGTCTGTATTGACGCGTACCAGTGGGCTTCTCTCTAACGAGATTTCACCTATACTGTTTAGAGCTTTTTCTGAAACTCGATTCTTGAATTGAATTCATCATCCGTGTCACTGAGATCAGAACAACCGTCTGCCCGATCGTCAAGAAGGTAGCTCAGATTCTCTTTGCCTAGATTGATCGTCAGTTACGGGCTTTCGCGAGAAGCCGATACTGGCAGACGATAAAATCCCCGCGGCTCAAGCCCTTTCGCCAACTGACCATCGACCGACATGTGTTGCGAAACACTTCCACAAAATCTGCTGGGGAGATAACAGAAAACTGCAGTGACTCACCCACTGCGGAAAAAAACTCACGCAACAGTATGACGCTGAAAACCAAGCTGGTTAGGAAAATAGTTCTGAGTGACTCACATTCAGAATTACCGTTTCAGAAACTTCGTATTCAGTCACGCTGACTGGCAGCCCTCGCGACAGCTGTATTCCGGGGCTCCGCATGCAAAATGCTCTCGATCGAGTTCGCCAGTTTCCGGGAAGGGACCTACGCTTTCTCTGTATCATATCAGGGTAATTGAGCGATCGGAGGGGCTCGAATTTGATCTGGGGACAGAAACCAATGTAATGACTCTGACTCCCCCTCCTCAGGGTCGGATCCCTTCGGATCGGAAACGGCACTTTCCCGTCGCGAGCTCTGGATGACGAACGTGAAGGAAGGGGGAAAAGACTGTCGACGCATAATCTCGCTTCGTGTCTGGTCAGGACTCTGGAATGGACCACGACTTGAGCGTGGTGGGAATATTCGGTAGTTTTGCTCGAGGGCGATAAACAACAATGTTCTGTGAATAGATGCTTCACGTGGATACGCGTTAAATTAGGGGGCATCGAATACGTTATCAAAACAAACGAAGCAAGCAGGGGCTCACTTTCTGCTGGACGGCCGCTGAACCGTAGATCGCTGTCCACCGTCGATTCAGAAGCCTCCTCCGTCAGTCCTTGGAGTTCCTTGATCTGATTGCGTCATCTGTAAGACATTCATTTATTCCAAATCAGCCAGGGTCCAGCATAGCCGGAATCCAGCCAGGGTCCGTCCGAGAAAAGCCCTTGCCCGCGCGCAATAAAAGCACCGTCCAACCGAGTCCAGTCCACTAAAACAAGTCGCCAGAACTTCCTATACCGTCGGAAACATGCGTGCTTTCGCCGTTCTCGCCCTGGTCGCGGTTCTCTTCTTCGCTTCGAGCGAGGCCTTCCTCAAAAAGAAGCTCATCATAGGAGGAGCCGCCGCTGGGGCCGCTGGAGCTGTAGGTGCTGCTGGAGGATTCCTTGCCGGATCTCATATTCCCGGTCTGCTGCACCACCGCCCGTGAGTATACAATCATGGGTATACAATCCGGATATTGAATTATTTCTTTCTGGAGAAAGGTTCTCAGCATTGTGAATCGAGAGACTCCATGACTCTCAATCTTTATTTTTCTCCAGTCATCCCGTCAAGCACGTGAGTCACGTCCACGTTCACGAGGCGCCCGTGAAAGTTTTGCACGAACCCATCAAGGTGGTGCACGCTCCCATCGAGCACGGCTGGGAATCCGAATGGTAAAACGAGTGAGAGAGCTGAGGCTCGTTCGACGAGTACTATAATCACCGAAGTGATGCTTGTAAATTGATCCCCATCTCATCCTGTGTACATGTGTTCCTGTTCTTGTCTCTAGTAAATAAATGTGTTGTCCGTTGTCAAGTAAAAACCAAGCCATCTTTCCCCTCTATCCGAGGAGCCGCCCGCTCTCCGATTTTTCCGCTCTCCAAAGTACATTTCCAGTCAGCGGAAGCTCGGGAGCTATTTCGTGTCCGGAGCCGTGGCAGAAATGTTTCTCGCGATTTCCGAGACATTCAGGAAACTTGGCCTCCGGGACTAGATAATATGAGTATCGAACCAACCCCCCCCCCTCCAGTCGATCGCGAGGGAAGAAATTCTGAGAAAAGGATGCTTGTTGACCCTCCGGAGCCCATTAGAATCACTATCCCGAAACTCAGATGGCTCTTTGGGTTCCGATTGTATCTGGCACAACATGATCAGCTCACTGATCTCCTCAGGTGAGCTCGTCAGATTAGGCAACGGGAAAGGTCTTCTGTCTTGAGCATCCAGAATAATCACTCAGATTTTCGAAGAGACCCGTGAATCGGACATGATTTCGGACTACTGCGCGTACTTCACTTATGTAGTCGAGCGAAGGAATCCTGTTCCCGTCGAGGAAGGTACGAATTCTTCCCATCTCTTTCTGCAATTTTTCGTTTTCCTCAATGTGTCACCCTGTACAAAATGATCACGGACTTATCGAGTCATTCCGGTGTTTCTTGTATTCGCAGAAATAGTTCAAGGGAAGCCCTTCCTGCGACGGTTCCACGACAGCTCACATTGCGCAATCGGCGGAAAGTAAGACACTCATTTTAAAAATCTGACGTAATGTCAGGAAGGACGCGGTCGGAAAAGGTCGTCCTATGCTCGTCGTACACAAATGAACGACGTACGCCTTTGTAGACGGACTTTGCTCTGCTATCGATCGCAATCTGGGACTTGGTTAGCGACCAGACCCGCTGACTGACTGCTTGGCGGAAGGGTCACGAAAGGTGATCACTCGACGAAAAAATCCTTAATCCGCCTGTCTGGCAGAGAGGATGATCGCGGAGGAACTCTCGATCGGGCTGGACGCGGATGATTCAGCTCCCAGAGTTAGAGTCGCGCCACGCCTCCCGAACTTTACCTCCAATTTTGAGCGCCCAGAAAGCTGCCCTGTGGAATAATATCCTGGGTGTTGTGAACCTTTGACGGGTTCCCGATCGCGATGTAAACTTCCGAAGCCCATCCTAGAAAGCGGTCTCTCCGGACGAGATGAGTTTATTCCCAGAATTAATCACTCGGTTTCATTCACAAGGAGCAACGATCTTTGCGAATTCGGCGTCGCATTCCGCTGCGGTCTCCATGGGAGAATATATTTACATGTTCTACATTTTTACATTTCCGTGAGAATCGGGCGCAGTCCGTTCGCGTTTCACCAGCCGTGACCGTAACCGCCATGGCCGTAGCTCACTCTATGGCCGAGTCCATAACCATAGCCTCCTTGACCATATCCGTGACCGTAACCGTGTCCGCCATATCCTCCAAGATGTTTATGGGTGTGGATGTGGTTATGATAAGTTCCTCTGGAAAGGAATCACTTCTTCTTGAAGCTCACCTCACTGCGAATCCCCCCGGGACATATTCTACAGAGGCCAATAGAGGCTCTCGTCACATGGACAAATAAATTACGAGGAGCGGGGATTTCTGATGCTTTTCAACTCTAACTCCGAAATCGTCGGAGTTCCGCCGAGGAAAATCTGCAAGGGATCGATGCTGAAAGTAGCTTGCTCACCCGTAGTGTCCTCCATAGTGACCACCGTAGAAAGGTCTGTGATGCAGGAGGCCTGGGAGCGCTGAGCCCGCTAAGAAACCACCAGCACCGCCGAGTGCTCCAGCTGCTCCGGCTGCGGCTCCACCGATCAGAATTTTTTTCTTGAGGATGGCGGCATCCAAGCAGCAAATCGACGCAGCCGCAACGAGGATCACTAGGGAAGAACGCATAGTGAAGAAGAACGAAACGGCTACGTGCACCCTAGCCAGATCACCGATAGACTCTAACATGAATGCTTTGTACGGAAGGCTTTAAATACAACCATCGCGCGATGGAACAATGTGTGGGGAGGGCGTTGACGTCCGCGGGATGTCCAAAATGACTCAAGCTGGGACTCAAACCACGCCGAGAAGCACGGTTCCTGGCTCGGGCTGCGCCGACGGATGGGGCTTCCCCAGAAATGTGATGAAATTTCTTATTACGTGTAGCGCGGCAAATAATAATTCATTCTGACATTTTCGGTACAAGCTGTCTTCGGGTCAGTCTGCCATGAGGAAGTGGAACAGTAGCCGTGAGAAACAAGAGCCGAACCCTAGTTTCTCGCAGAGGAGATCTTCGTGAAATCATTCCAAGAGACGAAACCGAGTCTCTTCTTTTTCTCGATGGGCTTCAAAATAGCGAATCGCCCATCGCGCCGTCTGAGATTCTCTGAGTTCTGATTGTGGTACAAAAAAAGTCGAATCTGATGTCTGAATCCCGGCGCAGCGCTCGAATTCTTTTGCGTGTAATCCGCCGCCCACTCGATGCTGGTTATTAAGCTTGAATAGCGTCAAGGATGATCGGATCGGATTCCGTCTGGATTTGTATTCTAAACGTGCATGTAGGAGCTCGGCTCTTATGTAAGAGGTCAACTTCACGCTCGATCCGGAGGGGGCGGAAATCAGAGATTACTCAACGGAATCGCGACGAATCCCGAGCGATCAAACTTATGAATATGCAAGTCGTGTTAGGTGGAGTTTCCAGGGGAAATATTGACTCTAAAAGAATTCGATCATGAAACGTTACGATTCGGAGGAAAAAAAACGCTCCGCGATCCCACGTTCGCGTTACAGATCGCGGTTGGGAGCAAGCCTTCGTGGGGCTCTCGAGGCAAAAGGTCGCGGGAACTCCGCAGCATGCCGCCAGGACACCGCCGCGCTCCTGGCGAGACGAGCGTATCATTCATAGATTATTCAAGCTTCTATCATTCACTCTAATCGAGGAATAGATTCTCGCTTATGACGTCGCTTCCAATGTTTTCGTCGAAGTAATCTGCGTATGCTCGAACATGATCTTCTATTCGAATGGACGAGATCAGCATCAGCGAGTTTCCATCTCTTACACTCCCACCTTCAAGCTCGAAACTTCGCAGCATATAGGTGTCATACTGCTGATGAAGCACGAATGAATCCGCGATCGACGCTCATCTCAATTTCACTATCGGCGCGTGCTACGGAACACTCCAAATTTTCCAATTCGGTCGAGAGGCGAGAATTACTTTTACCAAGCTCTATTGCTCGCCCTTGAGAGGGCCAAACTAGGGGTTCGTCTGCGTGCAGAACCTGTGGAGAATTCCTCCCTGAAACATGCAAATCCATTGAGACTCTGGCTCGTCCCCTATCGGAATCGATCCCGATATTTTCGCATTGCTTCTGCGTCACGCGACTCGCGAAGGAGTCGCGAACCCTAAATCCACGGAATTGGGGACCTCGCGGATTACTCAATATAAACTGAGCTCATAGGGAATGCCCACATGGCGATACTGAAAAGAAAGAGCAACAAAACACCGCATCACTGTGCCCGTCCGGCCTTGGCCAGTAAGAAGAAAATGCATGCAGCGCAGAACGACGATCCTTCCACGATATTCCTATGATCGAGTGGGCGCTGTCTGGGGCGAAAACTGTTTCAGAAGAATTGCGGTTCGAAGAAGGGTTACGCGAACAACGGGACATTTGTGCGACACAACGGGATGCATGTTACAAACGGGTCGGCGAAAGTGATTCCGGTGCAAATCATCCAACGAATTCATCTAGTTGTCTACTGATGCGCGTCGAACTCCATTCGAAATGATTATAAGCAAGAGAGCGAGAGTGCTTTGGACGGGAGTCCAGGCGCCTAATTCGTCATCGTCGGAGTACCTCATTCAGCCCTAGCACTGGTGATGTGATCGATAAATGATCCGCAGAGACTCGCAAGTTGACCATGACGCCAAGGATCGAGATAATCAAGGACTGTTTATTACATAAAACATTCAACGTGACTTTATTTGTGCCGTAGCTCCATTTCCGAATGATGGCATGCAATGTACACTACACAGAATTTCTTCTTGACCGATTCCAGATCTACCAGGCATAGCCGGGGCGGGGGTGACCGTAGTAGCCGTAAGCCGGATAGGCAGGGTAGCCATATCCTCCGTATCTCTGACTGCAATTGAATATAAAACGAAGTTTATTCCGATTCCTCAACCTCACTGAAAACATGGCAACGCCATCAGGGAATGGGGGTTCGAAAGGGGGAACTTTGGAACATGAACGAAATCAACAGTTTCACGAGTCGAATCCTTACGGGTAATAGCCATAGGCGCCGTTGCCACCGTAGCCGCCATGGCCATAACCTCCATATCCTCCGTAGCCGCCGTAGCCACCGTAGCCGCCGTAGCCACCGTAGCCGCCGTAACCTCCGTAACCTCCAGAGTAATAACTGTTGACCGCAGCTCCCTTCAAATATCCACCTGCGTATCCCAGAAGTCCGACGGCCACTGACGTTTTATCGAAAGCTTGAGCGCCAAGCAGAAGCGCAGACACAACAACGGCGAAGACAACACGCATTTTTCCAACGAACGCAACGCTAACGACGTTGAGATTAAACCGGAGAAGCACTTCGAGTCACAAAGCGCACGACGACAATTAAGGACAACACGAACGATCGCGAATTGCAAGCAACGTTCCCGGGGAGAACGCGTCCTTTTAAAGCTGACGGAAAAGTGCGCAAGGGAGAAAGGAGACAACTGGGAGCTCCGGACCGGCGACGTCATCGCTTAGTTAATTGTGAGGAGACTCCCACCACAGTAAGGGAATACCCTTTGACATCGGAGGCGTTACCGCGACAGACACTCGAAAAATGCTTTCCGTAGTCGTCACGTTATTTTGCATATATTGTTGTGAACATTCGAGTAGACGTTCGCGATTCTCCTGTCGGCTGCATCCGACCGCAGCTCTTTCGAATCAGCATCGGAATGTTTCGCGACCCAATGACGCTATGACTGCCGCTGCGACTTTGTGTTGTACTGAGTCCCTGAGCACCTTGATTTGATAAATTTTCATTCGATGAGCGCAGGATCGGCTGAATTCACGGGGGAGTTCCACGCCTCTACAACACTGCGGAATTTCGGCGATCCGATCTTCTGGCGTCTCATTGTTCACGACACACCGGGTGTCATGGTCTGACTGTGTGAATCCCTTCATTAAAAATTCTCAGACAAGGCTTTCTCCTCAAGACGAGATTGGAAACGTCACAAGAACGATATGAACTTGAAAATTCTAATGACACCATGGCCGCTCCCGCGATTTCGCCCAAGTATCCGCTGATGCTTCGCGGTCATGTAATCAGCCGCTCTGAAGGAAACCATCTTCGACGGAGAACTTTCTAGGGTGGTGTCTGGCTGTTCTGGCTCTTTGGATAACAATGATTGCTTCGGAAGTTTCGGGCTCGAGAGATCTTCTGACAATGAATCGGCTCATTCGGATGAGCTGACCTTGATCACATTCCTCCCCCGGAGCTCCCCACGGAAAAATACGCGAAATGTGAACTATATTATCAGCGAGAGATACTGAGTGAGTCTAAGCGTCTGATTGGATGTGAACGGGCGGGCTGTGAGCACGGTTTAATTCTGCTGGGACTCGGACTTTGGAGGAGTCTGCGTCGGATGTCGGATCCCTCCAAGAAGAATCCAGAGTCTAGACTCTGGACATTCGGATCAGGATTTGATAGCGGCTTCCTTTCGAAGTCGATCCGGTGGGAGGACAGAGGACAAAATGCAAACGGGGTCTCGAATGAGCGAGGCTGCTCTTATTGACGGAAAGAAAAAAACTGAATGATCCAGAGCCGTCACCCGATCTGGGTGAAAGTAGGTCAGTACTATCGCGCTTATACGATTCATGTCTTATCATTATTATCGATGAAAGAGGGCAAACACTTCCGTCGGGATAGCGCGCACCGCTGCCGGTCGACGAGCGTTGGATTCTGACGTTTCGAATGCGCCGCGTACAGAAAGCCCATTCATTCTGATATCCTTTCGATGCAGATAACGTCGTTGTTGCGTCGCGGGTTCCGTTTGGAGGTCACTTCAAAAGTCTCGGAATCCGACGAGAAAGTTTAAGCAAGCACGAAATTCGTGCCAATTCAGCTATCCGATTTTGTGGCTTATGATCATGGATCGAAACTCATCAGATTACTTCATAATTCTCCTCAGATGAACTCTCTCGCTGACGTTCTCAAGCTCCTCAGGAGTCCGGTCCTACGATGCTCCGTTGCATCCGAGGCCGAGAGAAACAAGAATGAGTATTCGGAGGCGATACAGAATGTCGGCATCGAGCGACAAAATGAGCCGGGTCCGTGCGCCCTGCATCGGAACGGCTTCTTGCGCAGCGTATGAATGATGGCACCCCGGAAAGCAGAGCAATCTCCGTGCATGCGGGGATGTATGTAAGCCAGAGCAAACGTTGGGCTGGGATCCGACAGAGGTAATGTAGGATCCGTCTTCCCATCCATCCAACCTATACGAAACGCATGGCAGCTCGGTCGGCTCAAAAATAAGCGTTTTGGATTTGATCCGCTTCGTCGAACACCATTTCGCGCTCCAAACCTTCCAGTGCGTCGTGAGTGTATATAGAAACTCAGAGCTCCGAACGTATGCGCGTGTAGCATACACGCAGTGCCCGCAAGGAGACGCTCGGTGGTCACAATCCGCCGTGGAATTCCGTGGCGCGAATTTCGGACTTCCATGGCTAGAAACCATGCCTTATCCTCTAGTTCATCTCTTGCCCAGTTTTCGGGAACGTTCGCAGACATAGGCGCCTTCCGAGGATGATACTCTGTATAATTAGATGGATCTGACTCATGGAGCTGAGAAACGATAGGATGTGGGCCAGTCATATTTCTTTCAATAGTAGTAGTATGCTAATGGATCATGAAGACGCTGGAAGCAAACAGTAAGTAATAAAGAAAGTGACCGAGCGCTGTTCTCCATCGGCCATCTGGACTCTCGGGCAGCCGATCTAGCAGCGAGGATCGAGGCGACGAGGATGGAGAAGGAGAATTCGAGAAAAAATACCACGAGCAAGTGGCGAAGCTCATCCGACTAACTGTCGGGTTTTGCGTGAGTCATTCACTTATTCATCGCGAGCAATGTTTTTTAGCCAGACTTTGTTCTTCGTTCCGCACCCTTCACTAAAACAGCGAAAGGGCAATCGACGCTCTTATCTCATTGTGTCCCGTTTCATCGTCTCATTTACGCCGACACTCCTGCTCTTATCGGGATTCAAACCCCGTATACAAGAACTCGAATATATTGTGTGTTTCTCAGATCGGGGGAACCTCATCTGGAAGAAAAAAAATCCTCTGACGAGGCTGAAGAATATAATAAAATCAAAGGTGGGACCCATTCTTCCACCGTTGGGCAATTCACCGCAAAGTTCGAATCCAGCGCGAATTCCACGCACCCCATGCTTCAAGATTCAGACTTCTATTCTAGTTATGGGTTTGAGCTCTTTTTAAGGATCCATAAAACCACGCAACACATGTCTTGTGCTCAGGGTGGTGGAAACATAGCTCGATGGCTTTCGACTCAGTGGCTGGGTGGCTCGCGTGCTTGTTTGGTTGCTTGCTTGCTCGGTCGCCTACCTCGGACGCTCCGTCGGTGTGTCGAAAGGAGCGCTCGATATTACAGTGGAGAGTCTCCCCCATATCGTGCAAGCAGCTCTCAAGAAATGGGGGCTCTGGATGATGGAGGCTGGCTCTATCAAGCATTAAACATTGTTCGAAAACGACGCGTCGAAACAGACGCGACCTCAGCTACCGCATACCTACAGAGCTGCCAGTCTGCGGGACCATAGGTCGCTCACAAAGTCGAAATTGAGCGATGACCTGCACTATTCCTCCGGTGGTACTTGCGCGTTCCAATGCACCCAAAGCCACATGTTGATCGTTTCGGGGCTCGCTCCGACATTTTGTTGGTCGGCTTTTATTCTACTCACATTTGGGCTTGCCTCGAGAGCGCCGTGTGAGCTAGGTGATAGGGAGGGGAAGTGAGATTTCCTTCTACTTTTTTCCTTTAGGCGCCCCCACTCGACGAGCAATAAGACCATATTAAAAATTCCTCCGAAGGCCAACGAAAGAATTCTTAGCCGGCTTTCCCGCGACGCTGCGGGTCTCTACCTTCGAGACAGTCGGCGAGGGTGGATGGGCCGTTGGGAGTCGGGAGCAAGCCATTGCTTAGCTCCTTCCATGATGTGTCTGTTTATTGTCTTTCAGCTCAAAGTTCGACATTCTGAGAGTCTTTCACTCCATAATTTTGATGTCAGAGCGATCCCGATGAGCCGATAGGCACCCGTCGGGAATGATGCTCCGTAGGCTGCGAAGCGGTCCTCTCGCGAGCCATGACTCGTTGACTATGCTGGATTCCGGGTCGTATTCGAACTTGTTCCCCACCTTCAGGCGATGAGTTCCCCGAGTTTTTATCCACTAGCCTCGTGCGGAATTGCCTCATTGCGTCAGTCTGCACCGTCGCGTCCTCTCGGATTCGCGCGAGCCCGCGATTTTCGCGCTGAGGACTCCGGGCTCAGCGTTCCTAGTGGTATTTGCATTAAATCTCATTACTACGAAAACCGCCACAACGACCGAAAAATGAATTTTTGCCAGGCTTCCAATAGAACCAGTGATTGAGGCATCGCTATAGGTTAAACACCGTCACGCAGAAATTTTTTGGAGGGCGCACGAAAAATCCGATTTGATCTGAAGATTCACGACGACTTCTCATCCTGAGAGCGCGTCAATGGCATCACCTGCGGGTGCGATTCGACGCACGAAGATTCGAATCGTTCACCCCAAGAGCGGAGCTGATTTGCTTCGAGCGCCATGAATAGTGTTCGGTCCGGCTGCGTTTGCGGAAAGATGCGTCGCCGATCACCTAATTTCCCCTCGTCATCTAAGAAATTATTTCACTCAAAATGGGAATTTCTTCCCCCGATTGGACGAACTTCCAGTACGAGGGATATATTGTTTTCTTCCATTTTCCTGGTCTCATGGGGTTCGCTGTAAGTGTGCATTTGTCACTGCAGAGCAAGGTTCCCATTTCTGATCTGTAAGGGTATAGGCATCGACCCCCATAACAGGATATGGATCCGGTTCGACAGTATCTCCCCGAAGCGCACCGCAGAAGCGCATTCAGGCTTCCCCGGAGCTGTGCACAAGGCGCTCCCACGGTATGCGTTGTTCTACGCAGACGACTCTCTTGGGATCGCGGTAGGATCGCTATCCCATGTCCCACGCACTTGATACTTCCATCGATGCGTCGCTCCGGAACTCGAATCAATATTTGAGCTTCGCAACACGCTCCGATTCGGAAAGGAGCTACGGTGTACGATCGTCGGCGGGTATTCCACCGAAAGATATGAACGACTCGGAGGGGGAACGACTTCGGAGGTCGAGGTGGGGAAGGTAGTTTCGAATGCTTCATCACAGGGCAGCCTACCACGAGAGTACCTATTGCTTCTGGGATGGCTCGAGCGAGGAAACGACAGCCTGAAGGGAGAAGCGCTCCCGGAAGCTT